AAAAGTAGAAAACAAATAGCAAGACTTGTTACATGTGAGTGGTATAAACATGCCTGAGAGATGAGCACTATCACACTGCATTAGAAAAGCAAGACTCGACTTATGTCTTCTTTACCAGACACAGACTTTAAACATAAGGACAGAGAGAGTCTGAAAGTAAATACATGGAAAAAGACATGCTGTGCAAACATTAACCAAAAGGAACTAGGACTGTGAGAAAGAGCATTTCATAAGAGTAAATTAAACAAGAAAATATGCAATCCTAAATTTTTATTAAACCAACAACATAGTATCAAAATATATAAAGCAAAAGGTGAGAAAAACTTGCTGAGACTGGCTTCCTGGCCCAGGCCGTGCTGTTCGGGTGAATGTAACCTTGGGCAGTTGAGCAGAGCATGTTTTCTCAAGTCGTTATTCAGCGTAATGCTCTGTACAGTCAATTAGGTCAACCTGGTCGATCATGTTATTCAAATTACCTACATCTTTGAGTCTTCTGTCTTTTTGTTCTGTCAGTAGCTGAAGAAGTGTGTTAAAATCTTCCACTGTGATGGTGGATTTGTCTACCTTTCCCTTTAAATATGTCACCTTCTGCTTTAGGTTTCCTCAGGCCATGTGCTGGGGACAAAGCCCTGTATTGTTACTATTCCTTATAATCTTGTTACTATTCCTTATAATATTGTTACTATTCCATCATAATCTTATGTGAATAACACGTGTTAGGATATCAGCGACTCCTGAGAGCTATGTTATCGTGAAGCTTCCACATCATAATCTTATGTGAATAACACGTGTTAGGATATCAGCGACTCCTGAGAGCTATGTTATCTTAGAGTGCTGGAATAGAAGCGGAAGGAATTTTGAATGTCTTTTAGCTTACCCTCCTGGGTCATGCCTGATACATCCATTACACGGTCCAGTAGCTTCAAAGGATAGCATTTAATTTTTATTTTAAAAGATGACCGGAAAGGGGATCTTAACCCTTGACTTGATGTTGTCAGCACCACACTCTCCGAGGTGAGCTAACCGGCCATCCCTGTATAGGGATCCGAACCTGCGGCCTTGGTGTTATCAGCAGCACATTCTCCTAAGTGAGCCACGGGCCAGCCCAAAAAGACAGCATTTTAAAATCATCTTTATTTTATCATTTTAACACTTACCCAACTCCACAGGTAACATTTTGATAGGATTTCTTTCTAAAAGTAAAGTTTTCAAATGCCTTTAAAACAAAACAAAACAAAACAATTTAAAAAGCAGAAAATTAACTGATCATCCCCACAATACACCATGAAATTTCATTTTGCTTTTCTTTCGGCGGCAACATCAGCACAGATACACACAAATTTACAACCTATGCACTGAGGGTCCGGAGGAGGTTCTCTCAGCCTCGGCCCTGCTGGCATCTGGGACCAGGCAAATCTCAGTAGTGGGGCCCGTCTTGTGGGTTGAGGCATTGTTAGTAGCATCCCTGGCCTTTCCCCACTAGGGGCCAGTGGAACCACCCATCCTCCAGTTGTGACAACCACAAATGTCACCAGACATTGCCCATGACAATGCTCCTGGGGGGCAAAACTGCCTCCACTGAGAAACCCCTGCTAAGGGATTTCACAGCAGCCAGGTCCAACCTCGCTGTACCCTGTTTCCTGAGATGTGCTGTGAGGACCCCTCGTGTTTACTCGGCGGAAAGAGTTTCCACAGTCAAAACTGTGTGCAGACTTCTGCTGACAGTACGCCCTGCCCTGCTTAGAGACTAATCTTCACATGCCAGGGACTCCAAGAAATCTCCAAGCAAGGGAATGTGGTTTAAGGCAGCATTCCTCAACGTATCTGACTGTGGATCCCTTCTTTCATTTGACACCTATTAACCTCTCATAAAATTTAGCACAGAATATATCATAGATAGATAAACAGAAAGGACAGATAAAAGACATCCAGTAAAAATTTACTAATTGCACGATGATGGAAAAGTCAATATTTAATATTAAACTCTATCTCGCACCTTTTATTCCATTATGCCTCTTGTTTTTCACATTTAATTCTTAAAACTGTATCATATATTAATGACAATTTTTCTTTCTCCTTTACTTTTCAGGGAACTCCAGCTGAAATTGGCATAAAGACTGCAAACACCCTGGCTCCTTTGGGGTGCTTTCAGCCTTGGGCATCTGAAGGCCCCTTCTCATGGGCACCCCAGACAGAGGGCAGGGCTCCTGGGCCACCCACCCCATACCTGCCACACTGCAAGACTCAAGAACTGCTGAAAATGCCTGTATTAAGTGACCGCCAGGGTTGACCTGCCGCCTCGTCAGGCTGACACTGCAGCAGAGCAGACTGTATGGAGTCCAGGAACAGAGCCAGCTGCTCTGTGCTCCAGACAACTGCCTGCTCCCGCCCCCCGCAGCAGCGCACGGCCCCACAGGAAAGTCCATGCCTGCTGCTTCTTGGTCTATCGCTGCACCACTGCAACCGTGCCTGGTCCCCGCTCGTGTAAGGCGCCCTGGCACCAGCAGTCCCAGGCCCAGTGTGGGAAGCTGGCGTGGCCTGGAGTGACAGACAAATCCCACATATGCAGCTTTCCTGCCCTTAAAGGGTTTCTCAGAGAGGAGAACAGTCCACAGGCCAGACAGCCGGCCATGCCTACAAATTCCATAAACACACTAATGCTTCAGAGCAAGGAGCCGGCTGAGGTCTTGGTGTGCCTTGGAAGGTGAAAAAATTAAAACCCAGCATCGAAACTGACCAGGATCTCAGAGAC